AACATAAGGCCAGAAATCCTGAGGTGAAAGTTGAAATGAATAGATGCAGATGCTCCAGCTGCAGCTTGTGTTACAGGAGGGGGAAGATGATTTAGAGTCCTGGTGCTGCTTTACAATGACAATAAGCAGACGAGGAGCTAGTATGTTTGTTCTCTAAAACAAACATGGAGACAGAGTGGAGGGATTATTTTCTTCCAACAGAGGAGGGGTACAAATGAGGAGGAATGTGTGCCAGCCACTTTTATGATGTGCCAAAAGGAGAGTCCCATTACCTTAAAAGTCTCCTCCTATCTACCCCGTCCAAAAAGGCAGGAAATCCATGAACACTCCAAGTAAACACGCTTAATGTCATTTTAATCATTGGACAAGTATTCAAATGCATTTTGACATATGCTGTATTTTATACTTAGGCCATGATTTAGGACCAGATTAACGCAACTAGTACATTATCAGTGCTGATGTCTCATAATGGCAATATGAAATGTGACAGGTTTAGCGAAGGAGAAGCATTAGTAAATCGCTGTGTGTTTGTGGACCATTCTCATGGAATTACTAGTTTATTGATTTTGAAGAATTGCCTTAAAGTGATTTGTTTTGGTGTTAAATTTGGTCCACCTGGCTTGAAAATTAAAAAAACAATAGCTTAACAAGGAACATAGCTCCAAATCTGATAACTCAAATGTGGAACTGATCATGTTAAACCATACAGAGTTGCTTTGGCTCTGTTATTACTGTAAATGTAATCCGGCTGCATTCATCGAAACATAATGCAAAACTCAGATGATTCAAACTTGCCATATTGCCCGAGTAAACATGCCAGTTCTGTTTTTTAATATACAACCTCCATGTTTTTAGCTTTAGACCACACTGACCATTTGACATGATGCACATAAACACACACGGTGAGCTCATACCAACATGATAAAAGGCAGAAGCAGAAGACAGTTTTCAAAGAAGACAAGTGTAAGTTTGTTTCTGCAAAAAAAGAGAGCGGCTGGGAGAGAACAGAGGGAGCTCCTGCAAGAGCAAGTAGGCGATTAGAGGCTTTCTGTTTACATCTCAGCGCACACAGACCCGAGTTGACCCTACAGCATAAGAACAATCAGTAGAAGAGATTAAAAAAAGGAGGTCAGACAGCAGCACAGAGTTAACATGCACCCTCATCGTCTCATCATTCCCCGGGCGGCCAGCCTAACAATGCACTGTGGGAAAAGCCCAAATTCACGGATGCCCTGTCAGTGCCCCAGGTGCACAGACTTAAGAAGAACACACAGGCTCTATCACACAAGCGCAGCAGTGTATCCAGGACTCTATCCTCTGGCATGAGAGCTACTTCAAAAGAAACTCTTTATACTCTGTCTGCATTTTGATCTATATAAAACCCACAAGTTAGAAAAACACAGTTTGCTTCTGGATTGAAGAGACGAGACTGCAAAAAAAGGAAGTTGTTTCATACCAGACTTCAATACTTTCATAACAGCGTTGGAAAATTGAGCAGCTTTCCACAGATATAAGACAGCTGGACTGAAAGAGGCCATGGAGATGAAGCTGCACTGTCTGATATCTGTGGTTACACAGCTAAAGCCGAGGTCACTGCCCTCCACAAGCCATCTCGCCACACCTCATCTGTCAACAGTTGTGCTCTCACGTGTAAAATTAAACAAAAGATAGCGGTTTGCTTTGCCGCGGACTCTGTGGTTCGGACTGGTGGTTATTCCTAGCCTTATCACGGAGGCAGCTTACACGAACATGAGTCTGTTTTCCTACGCCACTGAGTGCACCCATGAGTATACTCCACTTTGTGCTAGCAGTAGCTCCATCTGGAATGTCTAAAGCTCGGGGGTCAGCCGAGATCCGACTCCATCTCACTTGGTTCAGGGAACAGTGAGTATTTACCCAACAGAAATGGTCAATTCTTTTCATTTCCTGCACACATTCAGATCTCATAATATCTACCATATGCTCAGTTCCAGACAAAGAAAAGGGGTTCTGCCAGTAGAGAGTGGTTTGTTTCAAGCACTTTGATTGTGTATAGAAGCCAGGGAACTAAAGGGGGGGAGCCATTGTAAATCCAATTATGTGTATAGTAATCCATGCAACATGAAGGCACATATCTTTCACTTCTGCTTCTCTGCAAACATCAGTTGAGTCTTCGGAAAGGAATTGATTGTGTTGTGAAGCACCGCAGCATGTTTTGAAGCCGCGCATGTTAAAAGCGTTCAAAAGCAACATGTTTTGCTATAAAAACAATCAGCGTGTCACTAGCATTTTGGCATGCTAAATGCTCAGTAAGTATCCACTACAGATGTTCTTCAAGTGCTTCAAGAGTCACGAATCTGAGCCAATACTCAATCAAAGTCATTTCACGCAGTATTTCTATTGCAAACATAAAGTATACCTTCTTGTGTAATTTCTAAATTCCAATGTCAGGTAGTGCATTAAGATGACAGCTGTTGATAAAACGTACAATTTACCACTGCAGCTTTGGAATGAAGATCTTTATGGGCCAAGATTAATATAATTACTAACAGCAATCCATCAAGTAGGAGCTTAACCACAGTCACAGCTCTGATGCTAGCTTCAAATAATCACACTGACGAGGTGTAGGGCAGAACTATGCGGTAAAGTTACGTTTTGTAAAGAAAAGAGCCCCTGTTCTTGAGTTGGAGTGGGTCTCATATAAAAGCAGCACAAAGTAGTGTGGGAGAAAGACAGGCCTTCTCCTGGCTCCACTAAAAATGGGAGTCTCCTACCCTGTGGCCCTGCCAGCTGGCTGTGTGCCCAGCGCCTGCCAGGCAGCACACTGCCATTGTCCTTTAGTTGTTTCAGGGTGATCTCAGAATTAAAATAGACAGGACTACAGAATTTGCCAGTTTATACACACATGAAAGTACAGCACTGCGGCAAACTGAGCCCCTCAATGCACTGAGTTAAAAGATTTAAGTGAGGTTGTAAACTTGGTAAAGGATCAGCTAGAGAGTCCCAACTCGGATACAAAATTAATGAACACTGAATAATATGACTAATGGAATAGCGTGTTATTAGAAATGTGGCTAGCGGTGCTACCACGAAGCACTTAGTTGTACGTCAGGTAACATTAACAAGCCGCATTAGTATCACAACTGAGACGCACATGCATAGTTTTAGATGTCACTCCCACGGCCTTTTCAGGTCTCACAGACTGAAGCTCCTGTATGCTCCCGACAGAAGGAGGCCGTGTTTGTTTTTGGCTGCTCTAGTGGAGCCCCGCAAACACAGAGCACTGGGCTGTGGCCCTTCTCCAAAAGGGACCATCTGTCCCCCGAACTTGGGCTAGCCACACCGGCTTTCAGTGCTATGGTGGGACAGAGCTGGACGTGCAGGGTTGATGCGGCCCAGCAGGCCTCCAGAAGAAAACCAGCACCTATTTCCATCAGCACACATCCTCCCTCAGCATGCTGCTTACCCTGCAACCTCCAAAGCAATGACAGCAGAGTGCACTTTCTCAGGAACAGAGAGAAAGAAAACAAGGAGAGGAGGGACGAGATGGTGAGAAGAGGGCTCGCATTACAAAAGAGAAGCTGCAAAAAGATTCTTTGAGTTTGGATCGAAAGCTCTGGGCTGCCTCTCCTTTTGCTGAGGTCAGTAATGGCGCGTTTCCACTGCACCGGGTAGCTCGCTTTAAGCGTGCCGAGCCGTGCGGGGCCCGTTTTTGGTTGCGTTTCCACTTGGCCTAGTTTTGGGTCGGGGCTACTTTTTCACCTTTTTTCTGGCCCGACTAAATCGTGGTTCTAGGGCCAGGAACAACCAGGCTGAGTCGGGCTGAGTATGCTAAACTAGAGAGAGAATCGCTGGCAAGGGGGCTACAACTACAACAAGATGAACATATTTGACCGTGATTTAATTGTAATACACGTTTCAAAATGATGCCGAAGTAACAATATACTGATACCGGTTAGTAAAAACCATGAATTAATGCTTTGACAAGTCTGCAGACAGACGGCAGGCGAAAAACCCTTTTAAAATGCATGTTTTCTAAATGTAGCTTGGCTAAGCTAACGTTATATATGCTCCGACCTTCCACACTCACAACAACGGCCTATACAGACATAAATAAACCAGGGACTGTAGGCTATTCGCCATGACACAGGCAGTCTGTGGTTTGTACTTGTTTAACTTTTGTCTAGTTTCTGAACAGATATGAGGAGCTGTGAGCTCTGAGTGCTAAGAGCTAACGGCTGTGTTGTTTTTCTGGGGCTCTCATTGAAGATGACGTCACGGCTCCGCCTACACTGCGTTACTATAGTAACTGCCCCAGTTCCTAAACTGTAATGGAAGCGCAGCATTAAAGTGAGCCGGGGCCTAACCAAACCGAGCGAGGCCTGCAGTGGAAACGCGCCATAAGAGTCCACATAGTCACATTAGCAGAGGAGTAGGTAAACTGTGAAACTGTTAAGATTGAGAGATGACACGCTAATGCACAAACACATTCACACACATCACTCAGGCAGGAGCATTTATATAAATGCTACCCAGCCTGTGCAACCTCAGAGCAGCGGAAACGTATCTCCCTTATTTCAACCGCGGCACACATTTTCTTTTCAAAGATTGTTTTTTAGCCTCGGACTAGTGTTGCTGACAGAAGTCTGGCTTAAGATACAACATTTGGACTTCAGGGCAGCACTTGGAGGTTCCACAGCTGACACAGGATAGAGGTTTAGTCAACCGGAGGATGCGAGGGGTGGGGAGGACAGGAGTAAACACGGATGAATCACGGGTTTACTCACCCTGCAACAACTTTCTGTGCAGCGTCTGCCAGAGACACAGAATCACAAATTCCTCTTGTGATACACCCCAGAGGCTTGAGTGCTCAAACATACGATTGTCCTAAAACAACAATATGCTCTCTTAAGAGATTCAAGTCAAACTGAGGTCAATATGCATTATTTAGCCTTTACATTTTTTCCTTCGAGGCCGTCGAATGAAAACCAACATTAGGTATCAACTGTTGCCATGCTTACCTGATTAAGAGAATCCATTTTCATCAGAGCTATAAATCCTAAGGGCAGACGACTCAAAGCCATGCGAGCCGCTGTGCTAATGAGTCCACTGTGGAGATGCTATCCAAGTGCATTAATAAATCCATCAGCCACTTGTTGAGAGGAACCCGCTTCACTCCACAGCAGAAAGCCTCAAAAATAAACAACCCTTCCTTCTGCGCCTTTACCCAACAACACGTCCGGGGAGAAAATGGAGAAAAATAGACTGAAAAGAAGCTAAGAGTAAAATAAGGAAGAGTCTGCCTGCCATCGGGGAGTCAATATAGTGAAATGCATACAGCTGCCCCTTAATGCTCACTACCCTCTCCCTCCCCCTGTGACAAAGCCACCAACAGAATGAATGAGACATTAGCATATGTAAAGGAAAGTAGGTGGCTGTGCTGGGTGGGGAACTGTTGGAAGTTGGTGGTTGGGGGGGAAGGGGTGGGCCGTGACATTCACAGCTCCTTGGGCTGACAGGAAGGACAAGGGAAAAAGAGGGGGAAAAGCTATTGTCACAGTGAAAAGATGCCCAGGCCAATCCTGTGCCCTTCCTTACGAGTGCTTACATTTGGAGCAACGGGAGATGGAGGAATCCACTTATCTGTTCTGAACCACAGCTTGGTACAAAAGTCTGTCTGACTAGCTATGACTTAAACACACTAAGATAAGAGGAAAAAAACAACCAGAGAGGGAGAATTGCCCCTTATTTTAAAACTGATAATCCGTCTAGCACATGCCATATGCTGAGCATGCATATCTTTACCTCCAGCAGAACTAGGAAACAGACAGGAGGGATGTAAGGGGAGGAGAAGCAAGGAAGAAAAGTGAATGAGAGTTCATCTCTGAGAGCACTACTCTCTGATGCCTCACTGCAAACAGCTGTGGGTTTAAGGGCCTACACGGCCTACACACAGCAAGCCGGAGAATTAGCGGCAACAAAGAATGACGGCAGTGTGCTCAAGTGCAGCTTTAGTGAGAAGACGTGACGCATCAGAGACTGCAGCTGACAGACAGCAAGCCGCAGTCATGTCGGTTCTGCACCTGCACGGCGGGGAATAACAAGATAAGTGGTATATTACAAGTTGCAACTGGCAAAGTCAATGCTTGCATTCAGAACAATCCAATTTGCGGTTTCAAAACAAATGTGACTATTTAATCCCTTTTCTTCTGGTGCCTGCAACCATTATCAGCTTGGAAAGGCACCAGAGTGATGACAGCCCTTGACGCCTGCTGGTCTACACAGACTGCAGGTGTGACTTTTCTGCCATGTCATGACCAAGTCTACAACCAATGTGTCTTTATGAGGAGATCTAGATCCTTTCATTTTGACCAAAAATAAAATGTAATTCACACTGACTTGACAGAGGAAAAAAAAGGAAAAAACAACAAATGATCCAACTAATCGACTTCGATGGGATCAGCCCTAATTATTTTTTTTTAAATGTATGAGAAAAAGTAATTGTTTTACTATTACATACAGACTTCTTAGTAGCAATTTCCTCTTATGCAAGCACGGATCAGCTGGTTTTAGCTGTAGTCTTTGAAATGTTCAAATTCGACAAGACGTCAGGTTCTGTCATGAAGTGTTTGATCAGTTGCTTTTTGATGACGCTTGTTGTTTGAGGTCAGCCCAGTGTGTCATGCCCCTATACCATTGTGAAAGTGAAGCAGTCTTGTGACTAAGGGTTTATGGCTGAAATGCAGGTGTGGAGACTGTTATAAAACCCTTCTCAACTACCACTGAAGCACTTCTGAGCAAAGCACTTTGAACAACTGCATGACCATCATTAAAAGCTACACTTGTGCTTTACAATAACTATAGGTATGAATGTGTGCGAGTGTTTATGTGACGCCAGTTATTTCTGAAGACGTCAAACTTCTTAAGATGCATAAACAGGGTCAATAAAGAACAACTCTGTGAGGTAAATGACTTTTGATGATAGATTTCTCCTTGTGTAGTGCAACATAATTGACTTTCAGGGAGCTTAATTGGAAAAACACTAAAACAGTGTCACTCTAACCACTTCCTGAAGACTACTTTGCTCTCTCTGGTTGGAGGTAGGAGCATGTTAATAGCAGGAAGTGACAGACTTTAATCAAGCTGTATGAATGGCAGCAAGTACAGGTCTTTGTGCCACAAACTGCTTTGATCTCGCCTCTGCAGGCAGGTTCTCAGCTTTGATTCAAACTAAGGGGAAGGAAAAGGGTTTTATTTGAAGAGTGGGAAGCCCCAGGAGGTAACACTTAAGAGTTCTTGTCACTGCATCCCAGCAAACTATTCATCAGCCTACACACATGTGCAGCAGGGCTTGTGGAGAAACACACAATCCCACAAACACTGCTCGTTTGCACATGGATGTCCGGGTCTGATGGGTAATTTACACACCAAGGGTAGTCATTACACAAACGGATACACATGCAAACCGACAAACAAACACTATAACAACATCGTTCACAGCTCACCTTTCAAATGCAGAGTGCAGAGTTTTGACGGATTTAACAAAATATATACAATGATGAATGTTGCTTTTGAAAGAAATGCACTCGTAGTGGCTAAAGAGAATTTTCTTTGAGGAATGTAAAGTATATTTTATTTTATTCAGTTCGGAAATGAAACAAATTTGGGATTTTTTCTGGACACAACATTTTTGTTGATTTTTCAAAATGACAAAACCTTTCTTCAACATTTTTAAAAGATGAGATGCCCGCTTTGGATCATAAGGTACACAGTTTAGCATGAATGTCGAGCACATATACATCCTGTAACACCACAATATGGTTTTTTTACACTTCTGATGTTTCAATGAAATAACAGAGATGTAGTAGTTGCTGGTAAACATGTTATTAAGTGAACTTTAGAGGTCCTGCTATATGGATTTTTTTTTTTTTAAACCTTGCACAGAGTCTTGGTAGTAGTTGACTTGTCTCCAGTTCTTATGCGAAGCTAACTCACCGGCTGGAGCTTTGTATGTAGACATGAGTGGGGTATCAGTCTTTGCAAGAGAGTCTAAATGTGTACATCACAAAATCTTTTAACATTGCCTTTTTAGTATTGGATATTTATTTCAACTGGAGAAGTCTAAAAGATTGTTTTCATCATATACATCAATATGTAATAAATGTATTCCCTTACTTGTTCAAAGTATTATCACAATACATTTCCACTCAACATTGTCTAAAATATGTACGACTTTTACGTTTTTATATCAAACACTCTTACTGGAGCTTGTTCTTACTCGAAAAGCCCAGAGGGCAAATCCTGTCGTTGTACAGTCAACCTGGTGAGACAGCCCCGCTCTGCATGCTAGTATGGGAGCCATTGAGGCTTGCTTCATAATTACAGTACTAACCTAGTTAAAACAGCATAATGTGATAAGGAACTAGGGCTTCTGCCTGATTACTTCCACCGGGGAACATTTCATAATTTACCAAGAACGAAAGGCACCTGCATCCGCTTAGATTCAGCCCTCATTCATGAGCGTGTGACGATAGCCAGGCATGTGATACATTTGCTGTCCAGTATTTTTAGTCCTGCTGATAACGGCATGCTGTGGGAAGGCAAGTTTCTCCTTAGTGATGCAGAGTAGGAGAGGGGCTGTTTAGGGAAATGGCCTGTTCCTCCTGCAGAGAGGAAGGGAGGAAAAGCAGCTGGCAGGCAACAGGCAGACACAGCATCTCTGAATGTCACTTCTCTCCCCTCTCCGCCCCCCTCCTCTTCTCTCTCTCCACCTCCTCTCCTCCTCTCAGTTTGTTCCGTATCTGTTGTCTGAATTCATCAGAGAACAGGAGGCTGAGCTGCTGCCCCCCGCCCCCCCCTCCATGCCACTCCATCTCTACGAAAGTGGAAGACTGGAAGGGGGTAGTTGGCATATGAGGTGGAGGGGTGGAGAGTAAACAGGGCCTTCGCATCCCTTCATGTTGTTGCTAGGCAACTTTTACTACATATGACAGCCTTGAGTGACAGCAGACCTCCCTTCGGAACAAAGACAGAAAGTTGAGGCAGAGAAAGGAGAGGAGCAGAGAGCAGCACAGTGACGAGGGGTGATTTGGTGAATTTAAAGCAATAGAAAACAACACAATGAAACAAAGGTGAACCAAGATGATCACAGTCGTCCACTAATTTGGGGACCCACCAAGAATAAGCTAAATCTGACGAATCAGGACATCATTATTATTCTGTTACATAATAACAGAATAAGAAAGCACATTTGACAAATAATGTAAAATAATACAACAAAACTACTCTATGGGTAACTACTAGGGAAGATACAAGAACATACTTCTGCTACAGATAAGTTGATACCAAAAACCTTAAAACATGAGTACATGCAGATACAGGGGATCAGGACTCGAGACTCAATCTAATAACTATCCAGGCTCCCAAGGGACAACCCATTACACTTCCATAATGATGCTACATTGTTAACTAAATAAACGGTTTAGAAATTGGCAGGCGGAGAGCTAGTTGCCATAATGGTCCTGTTCGAGGTCATGTTCGAAATGAGTATTGTGCGAAAGTAAAAACAGTATTAAGATGGTAACAATTTGAGATGAAACTTAAAAAATAGTGTTTTGTAAAAATAATGTTTCCATAGTAACCTCAAAAAGATATTTGACCCGTTTAACATTTAACACCTGCACTTAGCATCTTATAACTACTAATGCCAATCTTTTTTCCTCATCAAAGCAAATATTTCTTATTCTACATGACAACAAATGTCCCTGGTATCAAATACTAAACGTGTGCTATTTTGACATCCCTAGACATGGCAGATTTTGCATTGTGTCAAGGGATTGCAAGCCGAAAGGGTTGAGAACAAGACTTAAACAGCACAGTACTTTTTAAAACATTCTGCCATCAGTCCAAACAACGTTATATCTGTTTGTACCTGAGGAAGCAAACTTAATTGATGTTGCTGTAATCACACTCCAGAGCACTCTAATGGATTCATATTTGAACACTACAACATTGAGGAGGTCTTCAGTAGTTAAGTCATTATCCAAGTCTTGTTTAGAGTTTGCACATACTCTCTCATTACCTATGAACAGGATCTGTAGAAACTCCCGAGGCAGAATACCAGCATTGCCACCACAAACTCCAAACTATACTTTGGCAAAAGTTGGCAGACACCCATAGTTCCGGCTCAGCACAGATGACGTGCTCCATCCATAGGGCATATAATAAGGCTTTTTCTTGACGATGCTAGGGGCTAAAATTAGCACGAGAATAATGATCCTGGCCAGAAAGCTGGTTTTCATTGGAAATTTGGCAGAAGGGAGCGCTCTGGATGCCAGATCAGAGGTGCTGCCGTACAGATCTGTGCAAAGGGAGCATGAAGT